TTCTAAGTCCCTGAGCATACTGATGAGGTTCTTCAGACGAACAATGATGGAAACCTGGTACTCTGTAAAGCTTCTCGAAGGTCTAAATAGTAAGTAAAACAATACAGTACGTGCTCGCTGAAAAGGTACAAAACATTTACTGACAAGATTTACTTTTGATTATTGTTAGCACTGTTGTTCTAAAGGAATGCATGGTTCCTCTTGTGGTTATTACATTATTTGAGGGCAGACAATGACTGTTTGATCCTTGAGCTGCTAACATGACCTCAGCCTTAAGACGGTATTTTAATTTTTTTTTTTTTCCATCAATGTCAACTCATGGAGAGTTCAATGTAGAACATGTGAATTGCTCTTTAAGCAATTTGATGTAGCGCTGTTTCAGTCAAGCTAACACAAATTGAGCTGAGCACGAGATTTTATTTTTCTCTAATGTCACCTAAAACAAACTGAAAATGCTTCTGTGCTGCAATGTTAAGGACACAGTTTAAGGGAATACCTGAAGTGGTAAGTCCTTCTTTTCCGGATCTGGTCGAGCCTATTCAGATATTCCTATCAGACAAATGATTATCCTTATTGTTATCATTGTTATTGCAGGAGCTTGGTTGACACACTTGGTCTCCAGCATGGATGCCTTGGACCCCAACCCCTGGGTGAGGTCACGATTTGGGTTAATTTGAATGGGGTTTTGGTGTTATATCTTTCCTAGTTGTGGAGTAGACCTTGGTCTGGTGAAGGGTGTAAAGGAATGCTTTTGTTAAGACCAGTTGGCATTGGAAAACTGAAACACGTACGCTTGATAGCTATCATCAGATTGATGCCACCCGACATTTAGTATGTGGAATGTGGAGAGAGGAGGGAATGTGCGGGGCAGCTGCCTACTTGAAAGAGCACCAGAGCTAGTGTCTGCGAGTTCATTTGTTCACATTTTAATCCGTCCTGATACAGTTATGTAAAAAAAAAAAAAAAAAAAAAAAATGATGAAAAAGATCAAGTGTTCTTATTTGTTTGCCGATCACGATACCATAGCCAATACTTCTTTAGGTTATGTTTCAAGAAATAGGAAGTGGAAGGCATGTGTGGCAAGGCTCTGTGTATGAGTTCAGCTCAAACCACAGAATGCCAGGAAAAAGAAATTCTTATGGACAGTTGTATTTTCTTCTCATAGAGAGAGGACAAATTCGAGCCATATTGAAATAAATTCTTTATCTGGAATAAATAAAACATCTTCATCCTGACACCGTAGTGACGGTAGACAATATACGGTATACGATTCTACATAGTTAACACAGCCGGCTGAACGGAAAGTGAGCAGAGCTTTTTATTGAAGGCACTCGCCTGTCTTTCGGTTAGCAAAGCGTCACGTAGCACTGGTGTCATGTTTTAATAAACAAATTGAGGCCCGTTCAGGTGTTTCGTTAAATCGCTCATATCAGAACAAATCTGAGACACTGAACCAGAGTAGGAAAACGTAACAACACTCACTGACCTGTTTGCAGCCGGTTGTGGTGAAAATGGATGAATATTTGACTGAAGTATTGAGGACAAAGTTATCAGGACATACCTTTTTAAAATACTACATGTCCTATGAATCTACGTTTTTGTTTTTTTTTCTCTATTTTTTGAAGTCCTCCAATATATGCCAGAAGGTGTTGACCCTCATAGTTTGAGGTGTAAGCATGGTATTATGTACTAACTGGGGATAATGGGATGATGGTGTCGTTTCTGTACTGCCAAAGCTCACAGACTGCCTCCATATGCCGTCTGAACTGTGCCATATGCTGGAATGCATGAATCAGCTTCTTCTGGGCATAGGAATCTCTCACTCATGATGTCTGAAATCTCTTAGTTTTGGAACTTGGATCAGAACTGACCTTACCACCTTACTGAACCTCTGTTAGCTTTTTCCATCACTGCTGTTTGAATATGTAGTGCATTTCATCTGATATCAGTCTGAAGCATTTGGGTAACAACTGTTGGACCTTAGATCTCCTGTAATAAAAACTAGGAGATTAAAATTTACCTTTACTTGACAGAATTTTTCGAAACCATTTTTAACTTCCGGAACAGACATCGGAAGGTAACTTACAAATGAAACGTTACAAACGCCAACAAAACCCCAACTACACCATTTTTATTATTGTTAATCTTAAATTATTAGAACAGGATTTACATTGCTGCAGGAAGATTTCCTTATTTTTTATTTGTTGTACAGTAGTCCCTCGCTATTTAGCGGTTCATCTTTCGCCGATTCACGACTTCGCGGGTTTTTGAAAACTGTATATATAAAATATACTGTATCCCGGATCTGGATCTGCAAGAGATGTCACAGGAATGGGACGACGATATGGTTCGATCGGTCCAATTTAGAAACAAAATCGACGACGACATCGTGACTGCCTACAAGCTACTCTTCGACTGGAAAAAGAAGCGGCGGAAGCAACTGCCGATCACGATGTTCGGCAGCCTCGCAAAAAAAGAGCCAGTTCCTGCTACTACTACGGATACCCCTTCGGAAAGAAGAAATGGCACCACCCTCTGGAGAGACGTAAAATCAATCATCGGCTTCGCAGTAAAAGTCATCATCACCTTCCTCGTCGTCATTTTACTGCGCATAAATATGGTGTCACCACTTCGCGGAAATTCAGTTCTCGCGGCAGGCCTCGGAGCCTAACTACCGCGATAAACGAGGGACCACTGTACATTCTTTAACTCTGGTTTGTTTGATTTTGTCTGATTGTCTTCTTTACAAAGACAAGGACATTTTCAAAAGAGACCGATCTGGACTGCAGATAGGCCAGTCGGACATCTTTAAAATTGCAGGCAGGGCTGCATAATTATTCCGATCATGGTAGCAACGCCAAAGTTTATGATTACATGACCTCATCACCCTGATTGGCCACTGTTTGCTAAGCAGACCAATCGGTTCTCACTGTGAAGAAGAAGAAGAATAGAAGAAGTTTTAACACTGGTCGCAGTCGGGGGATCCAAGCACTGCACCACCGTTGCCCAGAATCGGTCTCCTCTGTGGTCAAACGTTATTCAATTTTCCCTGCTGGAACAAATTACTCGGTGCCCCCAGAAGACCCAAGTGTGTAAATGTTTGTGTTGGCGATGTTGGGTCGAAAAACTCCTCTAGAAATTTCATTAGAATTTGAAGTCACATTGGAATAGTGTATAAATCATAGAAGAAAAATGTTTCCCTGAATTTAGCACTTTCAATGTCATCAGTGCTAAAAAAAAAAAAAAAAAATCGAAATGTTTTCTTGATCTTTTTTTGACTGTAAAAGTGTTTAGTTTTAAAAGCTAGAACAAACGTTTTGGAAATAGGGCAAATTACACTGTTATATTTAAAAGGAAGCATCCATTGACAGTGCCGTATAAAAATACATTTTGAGGCACTGTAAAGTACACACGACGACAAGCACTTTGGAGCAGTGAAAGCATATTGATCTCTTTTCAACAGTCTGAATGAATAATTGCGCACAAGTTCTCTCTCATACTCTACGTCTATGTCTCTCTCTCTCTCTCTCTCCCTAGCCCTCCTCCTTCTCCTGGGTCTCTGTGTTTATCTAACCCCTCCCTCATATGTTCCTCTCATAACACTCACCAAGCTACTTGGTATGGCCATGAATGACCATGCTCTCTCGCTCGCTCGCTCTCTCGCTCTTTTTCTCTTTCTCTCCCCTCTGTACATGCACTAAGCCAGGGGTGTCAAATTCACAGTGGGTCAAAATTAAAAACCGGGACGAAGTCGTGGGCCGAACTCGATATTTATTGAAAAATTGACTTTAATTGTTAAATGTTTTCATTGTTAAATGTTTTCCTTTCTCTCCAGATCCGTAATGTAGAATTTTTTTTCATATGGAAATAAACGTTAGTTTTGCGGATGGATGGATGGATAGGTGGATGGATAGATAGATGGATGGATGGACGGATGGATAGATGATAGATAGATGGCTGGATGGATAGATGGATAGATAGATGGATGGGTGGATAGATGGATAGATAGATGGCCGGATGGATGGAGGGATAGATGGATGGATGGAGGGATGGATGGATAGATGGATAGATAGATGGCCGGATGGATGGAGGGATAGATGGATGGATAGATGATAGATGGATGGATGGCCGGATGGATGGAGGGATAGATGGATGGATAGATGGACGGATGGATAGATGATAGATAGATGGATGGATGGAGGGATGGATGGATAGATGGATAGATGGATGGATGGATTTTATGTTCGTGGATTATGTTTAGCAATAGTTGTACAGAATTTTTTTTTATCCGTTTCTCTGTTTTCTTTCATCTCAAAAAAATCAGAAAACACACTAATTCCCTTTTTTTTTTTTTGACAAAATACGACTTTGCATATGGGCAAACTTCCAATTGTCATGCAGTTGTATTTCAGGCTCCCCCTTGTGGCACTTGGCACAGAAATGAATTTGGAACAGTGTATTCCACTGCCTTCAAATATTCTATGAAAGTGATGACAAAAATAATTTTCTTATGAAAGAGTTCCTTATATTGTAGTCATACAATTTAACCACCATTTTTTAAAATAATATATAATATAGTCCATTCCCTACAATTCAGTTTCTGAATAATTTAGTACTCAAATTCTAATTAAATTTTTATAATATACAGTTTTTCCATTTCCTGTGTGACCACAATACTTGGTTAATTTGGCACCTTACAGAAAAAAAACAAAATAAATCAGCACTTTGTATACGTTGAAATGCAGTTTTTGTCTCACTTTCCTTAAATCTAAGATATCATATCAGTAGGTATTCTTCTCTCTGTCTCTCTCTTTAATTCTTATTCGTTCACTCTCTTCGATTCCAGATTGTCATTCTTTTATTTTTCTCTGGGGAAGTTCACATCATCCAGTGGTAAATTTAGCCCCGTGTCTGGCTGTACTCAGTACAGATTTTAGCCTGTGTCTGCGAATGATTGGCTAATTCTCCTCTCTTAAATTTCCATGATGTTTGGTGTTCAGTGCTCAAACCCAGCCATGAGCATCATCGGGGCTGAAGATGAGGATTTTGAGAATGAACTCACCGATGTAAGTAAATAAAAAAAAACACTTCCAGTCGTATTTCCCGTGATATTAATCGTGCGTTCACTTATTTTGTGCTGACTTTTTTTTTTTTTCTTTTATCAGGTGGTTGAGGACCAGTGTTCAAGCTTTAACCACATAGAGAAGCTGAAAGAACGACCGACCCACCTGCTCGTATTCCTGCATCATGTTATTCTGCAGTTTGATCCCGCTCCTTTGGTGAGTATTATTAGAAGTGTTGAGCTGTATCAAAATATGGGAAACGTTTTATATTTGTATGTTTTACTCAGTCATTCTCTACAATCGAACTCACGTTTCAACTTAATAAAAGGCTCGTTTTCTAAAAATCTTCAAACTCTCTATGAGGCTAAAATGTACACTTTATACCAGGGCTACGGGTCGCACGCAAAACCCAAAGGTCCTCTGGGATATTTTGGAATAAGTCAAAGGTCCAGGGAGAGAGGAGGAGCTGATGTGGTGACTCACATGTGACGCATCACTTTTGCATCACGCCGTAATACTGCCATTCTCAGAACACCAAACATCGAAATACATATAAAATAAATACAATTTAGTCAAATCTCCTCTTGACTGGCATCTCTAACAACCGTTGTCCAATTTAAACTTTCAAAAAGCTCCACCTTAACTGTCCCTGTTAGCTGATCATTTCTAACCCTGTCCATCCTGGTCACTGCCAGCATCTGCTAGCATCTTTATTTCAGAAACGTCCAACGTTTTTTTTTTAGCCACTGTCCCTACACCATTCATCATAGCAGGTCTCACTACGGTCTTATAAATCTTCCTCTTTAACTTTGCCACAAATCAACCCCTGACACCCGTCTCCATCCATACTCTGGATGGTTGACCATAGGAATTTAAACCTGTCCACCTTTACCAATTTCTACTCTTTGCATCTTTCCACTTATCTCATCGTGTATTCATTTCTCTTCGCCCCAAAATAAACCTCCACCTCTCCAGATTGTCCTATTTTCCTCCAGATCCTATATCCTACCTGCTTCCTCTTTTCACTACAGATGACAGTGTCGTCTGCAAACATCACGATCCACGGAGCCTCCTGTCGCACCTCGTCTGTCAGCCCGTCTATTAGCATAGGTCAAACAAAAAGGCAATCAGAGCCGGTCCCTGATATACAGCGCACCCAACTACCGTCTTGCTGGCCTTGCACGTGATCCTCACATACCTCTGCCACATACTGCACCACAGCTCTATAAATGCTTTCTGTAAATCCACAAAATCCCTGTGCAACCTTCCTGACCTTCACTCCGTGTTTCTACCCGTGGTTTCGAAGCAAAAATGGTTTTAAATCAGTAGCACTTCTCCTTAGCATAAAACCAAACTGCTGAGCGTAGCTGACATTGTCAAGACAAAGCATATAATATTTCTGAAGCTAACAGCTAACATGTATGTCCTCCTTGCATACTGAAATACAACTTTTAAAGTCCTTACTTTTGTGTCCTTCCTTCAGCTATGCTACCTCCATGCTGACCTCTTCAAGAACCTCGGTGCCAAAGAGACCAAGAAGCAGTTTGTGGAGTTCCACAACACCTTCATAGACAAGAGTGCAGTAAGTGTATTTGTTGACAGATTTGAATATGGAAAAGAGATGGAAATCCTGATCGCAAAGCAAATTCAATTCGCTGCAAAGAGTTTTTTTTTTTTTTTAAATATATAATTTGTGTTCTACAATATGTAAATAAAAGCTAATTAGATTTATGGTAAACCGTGCTTTTTGCGCTTTAATTCGTGACAGGGACGTTATGACGAAATGTCTATTGTAAGCTAGCTCTGATGTCGCAGCATATTTGACTAGTGTTGTTATGTTTTATTTGATCGGGGTTTTGAAAATCTGACAATTAAAGATATCTGCGCAAACTTTTTTTTTTTTTTTTTTTTAAACCAAACCTGAACGGGGCGTGCAACACTAAATGACACAGATGTTTCTTGTGCTTGGATGACGTCGCTGGTTCCTTAACCTGCTCCGCAGTGCCCCCTTTTGTCAATAGGATTCCGTCCAGTCCCTCACACTGACGTTTTTACAGCTTCAAATATCCACCAAACTTTGTAAGATGCCAATAAAATATGTTATAGAGCAGTTACATCCATAACAGTGGTCCCTGACCTTTTTTTGTTCCAAGGACGGCTCACCCTGTACCACCTGTAGGACTCTGTTTTGCAACTGACGACGTATTTTTTAAAAATATTGCCAGATTATCTTTAAATGAAGAAAGTAAATGGATATGGTGGAATTTCTTTGAATGAAGTAAATTAGTAAAAATTAAGTGAATTTTTTTCACTTCGTCCCACTGCGGACCGGTACCAAATGATCTATGGACTAGTACTGGTCCGCAGACCGGGGGTTTTGAATAATTGATTTTATAGTTTTACTCTTTTTTTTTTTAATAATCCTGCGTTAAATAACCAATGCTTCACGTTAATACATACAATAGACCGCAGTACTTTCCAAATGACAATCCGCCTGATTGCAAACAACCATCGTTTTTTTATTCACTACTGTAGGTCAATATTACGCAGTAATGTTTTTTCTTCTTTTGGGATCGACTGACCAGAGTCTGTTCTTAACACAAAAAAAAGTCAGTTTTTTTTTTTTTTTTTTTTAAATCTACAAAGTGGTTTGAAAACTTTAAAACTCTCTCTATAATCTCCAACTTTCTCTATCCCCAATGTCCAAAATGTCCACCCTCTACCCCCTCCTCTACATTTTGTGAGGATCGTGGGAAAATAATTTAGGACCTAATCCTTTGGCACTCTTTCTTCCTCTCCCTCCCTCTTATTTTCTCTCTCTCTCTCTCTCTCTTCTTCATTCTTGGTCTCACCCTCTCTCCCTCACTTCCCTTAGAAACGTCTACCCCCCCCTCTGCCTGTCTGTCAGTCTGTCTGTCTCTTTTTTTCAGTCTCGTTTTTCCTTCTGTAGTACTCTACCTACCTCTGTTGGTTACATTTGTTTGCACAGCTCCTGCACTATTCCATGTGCTACTATAACATTTACTTTATTTCTTCTTCTTTTTTTTTTTTTTTTTCCCCCGTCCAGAATCTCCAGGTGGCAATACCACGACATGTATCACACGAATTGGGTGAGTCTTTGATATATGAGTATTTCATATATTCTAAATAAAAGCAGTTACACATATAAATAACAATTGGCATTGCAACTTGCAATTTATCTTCCCCCCAATTATTTCTGTGAATAAGACCGGACACGTCCAGAACTGATAGCTGACGATGTCCAGAGGCTATACGCCCAGGAAGTTCAGGCTCAACAAGCTGCCGAAGTGGCTAAACAGCTGGAAGACTTCAGGTGAGAACACAACGCACTTGGACAGCACGCTGCAGCTGCTCAAGTTCGTCACGGCTGGACGGAAAGAAACGGTTGAATAACCTTCTTGCTTCTACCTCGAAGTAAAGGATTCTAAGTATATGAGTCGCTGTGATCAGCCTATTGTTTGTAAACACTGCTGCACGATTTATACAGCGTTACGATTTGTATGTTTTTTTTACACTCCACACCAGGGGGCTGTCTAATTCATTTTAGTTACACATACAACCTAATTAGATGTCAACTGGGCCGGACTTAATACCAATAAGTCCATGTTTTTACCATTTGTTTACATGCAAAGAAGTACAAGTATATTAGATAAATAAGCATTTTATATGGTTATTATATATTTTTTTCAATTAGGCTGTGATCAGCCTATTGTTTGTAAACACTGCTGCACGATTTATACAGCGTTACGATTTGTATGTTTTTTTTACACTCCACACCAGGGGGCTGTCTAATTCATTTTAGTTACACATACAACCTAATTAGATGTCAACTGGGCCGGACTTAATACCAATAAGTCCATGTTTTTACCATTTGTTTACATGCAAAGAAGTACAAGTATATTAGATAAATAAGCATTTTATATGGTTATTATATATTTTTTTCAATTAGTCAGAATGAAATATAAATTTACAAAAAAAAATTTTTTTTTTTCAAAATTTATCAACCGGGCCGGATTGAAACCCCAAGCGTGCCGGTTTTGGCCCGGGGGCCTTATTTTTGACAGCCCTGCTCTACACACTCTTTAGACAGCTGCGGTCACTAGCTGGACATTTTAAAAGGAACAATTTGTTTATAATTCCGTAGGAAAAATACATTAAGAATCAATATCTGGTAGTGTTGTGCCGTTGTTAGCTAGTTAGCTTAGCTTCTAATCGAAATCCAAAAAACAAATTCAATAAGATAGGTGCAAGAACCTGGGAGTTGAGTTGCTGTTCAAGGACCAGACTCAGTTATAAACATTTTTTTGTTAATTTTCAGTTGTACTTACAGTAGTTCAATCCGTGCTTTGTTTTGGTGCAGGCAGAAGCGGACGATGGGTATGACCCCCAATGAAGCAGAGCTTATCGACGTGGAAAGCCATTATCACACTGACCGCGTCCCAAAAGAGATGAAGGAGAAGTCTGTGGCGGAAAACCTTCTGGAAAAAATGTTTGAAACACAGTGAGTGATTGTCTTTGCATTCAAAAACAGCACAAAAAAAAAAAAAAATCTTAGATCCAAGTCTGATTCTCAGAGCCATGTAAATGTCATTACCAGTGTTTTTTTTATTGTCAAAATCAAGTTTTTATAAGTTTGAGGAGGTGGTCTAGAGCAATCGGAATCTGCTGCATGTTGAGCAAACGTTTGACAAACCAACACTGCCATGTAAAAAAAAAAAAAAAAAAAAAGGTTCCCAGACGGGTAGTAATGACTACAGGCAAGGAGGATTTTTATGTAAAAACACATATGTAAAGTAAGTAGATAAGCTCTGTTTCTTTTTTTGGGATTTTTTTTTTTTTGTTTTTTTTTTTTAGTAGGTCATGATATATAATAAGTGGTCAACGTACTCTGAGGAAAAGCAGAATAAATTGTCAAGTTTGTGCTTCTAACTTCAGGGGTCAATGCAAGTTCTGCAGAAAGAAAAGTTTTTCAAAAGGTACAACAAGACGAGGCTAAAAAGCGAAGAGGAAGAAGTCAGTGTTGCCATGCTAACCGGAAACATTTGCAGTTTGGGGAACTGTGAGCAGAGGGCGGATGACCGTCTAACCTTATCTTGGCAGAAGACAGAGACGGAAAAAACAAAACAACAAGATGAACAATGTAAAGAGACACTCCTTCTCAGACTGAAGATAAGAACAAAAAAAAACAACAATTAGAATCAATGGCTCTAGACTCATGTACTACACTGTTACTGTAACGTAACAGTAAGAGTTACTGTAACATTGTCTCACCCCAAATATCCCCTTCCTCTGGTCCCAACAGCACGGTGACATCACCCACTCAAGTGGTTTCCGAGTGGTCCATCTGCTCCATAAACAGGATAGATACGTCACCTGATTGGATTGTGCAGGATCACTGCCCTCCCTCTAAACTTTTAAAACAAAACACAAGTGTCCGATCACTGCGGTCTCACCTGTGTGTTACGTTAGAAAGAAACATGCTAGAAAAGACATCCGGTGTGTGGATTCACTTACTAAAAGCTATATTAGAGAGACAGCGCGAGGCAGATGTAGCATAGAACTGGCAAGTCAAATAAAGCTAATGCTTGCTTTAGCTAGTTAGTTTTTTTTAGTTAGCTTAGTTTTTTTTTTCGCCTATTTTTAAGACTATGTTCCCTATCGTTTGCTTTGAACGCAACACCAGCAAAATTAGCCGCGATTTGGATCAGACCAAGGTCACGTATTGTAGGTTTCTTTATCCAAAAATCCCAAAAGCGTCAGTTGTGCGTTTTGAGCGGGCACATATAAGTGCTCCTATAAACGAGGAGATGAGCTTGAAGCCGCTGAGTAACCGCTCCGTTTTTAACCTCGGTATAATGACACGTCTGCCGTTTCTTTCAGGCCGCCAATTGTCTCAGACGAGGATAAATGGTAAGTCGTGCATTTTCTGTTATTTTAGCTAAATGTTTTCTATCCTGTTAACTTTCTATTCTGGAAGAAGACCTAGACCCATTTCCAGTTTTTTTTTACATTAAAAATTGAATTTTAACATTGAAACATTTGAATAATTAAAACCCTGGTTATTTTAGTTTGATTACAAATTCTTTTAGTTTTCCAGAAACCACGGGCTCCATAATTTTGTTTGGCCGTTTCCGTGCTTTCTAGAATGACTTTACTGTGGACTATTTTAAACCAAACTTTTGCAAATTTAAGGACTGTCCCTTCTCTTGTAGCCAGTCCATATTTTCCGCCGTCGTCGTCTACATGAAGCACCTCGGCGTCAAGAGCAGAGCAGTGGATAAGAAGTCCAGAGGTGGCTTCTTCAGAAGGCAACTGGTTAAGGTAACCTTGAAAAAAAATTTGAAAAAAAATCACTACATCCTCTGCTTTATTGCTTCCGCAACAACTTCTATCAATTGTATTCACTTCAAATCTTGAATCTTCTCTCTGTGTTTTCCAGAATAAGAAGGATGAGTCCACAAAGGCCAAGCCCAGAGGTGTCTTTCCAGGCATCCCCAGCTGGATTGCAGGCAACAGTTTGTATTCCTTTTTATATATTCCACATACTTGTTATATAGTGGCAACATTTACAGTGACCAAATGCCATGTGTAAAAATTCTAAAATAGACATGCCGATATGAGAACATGTTGTCCTGCACTTCTTTCCTTGTTACAGCTGAGGTCAAACCTAAAATGGAAACTGAA